TGTGTGTGTGTAGGTTTTTGTGTGTGTGTGTGTGTGTGTGTGTGTTTTACCTCTTGCACAAACAGACTCTGTGCCTCTCTCAGCGCGTGTGAAGGTATGGAGGGGTAGAGCGTCCGGATCTGTCGTGGCAGCATACACACCTGCAGAAGAAAGATGGACAGAAAAACACTGTTATAATCAAATCTATACAATCTATAATCACAACTATACAAAACCATACTGATCCAACAACCTCCAACAAATTAGGGACGGCCATGAGAACTCAAGCACTCAGAATTGACAAGATTATGTGAAACAATCATATTCCTTTTAGATGTTTCTTTTTCAAAACATTGATGATTTATTAATAATAATCTAACAGTGTTATTTTTTCTTGTCATATCTTCATCAATAATATGGCACACATTTGAGCTCATGAATACTTCTGTTGAACACTCAAAACAATTTTTTTGCCAAACCTGCCAATCCCAACAACATTTGTTTTTACTAAACATTTGCTAATTATATTATATTGTATTATATATTTAACACAGGGCCCACTGACTTTCATTGCATAGAACAAAAAACACATTTTTTTCAAATGGTCTTCTTTTAGGTTGCACAGAAAAAGGAAAATCCTAAAGGTTTGGAACGACATGAGCTTGAATTTTCATTTTTGGGTGATCTATCACTTTAATCAATTTAAACCAAAATACTCAAACAAGACCTATATCAAACACATCGACAAGAATCACGCCTCACATGACTGACACTGAAACTAGTATTCAACTTCTGTTGCTCATGCAAACAAATACACTGTTTCAGTATGACTTTGAAACCAGTGACTTTTTGTTCAGTATAACTCTATTAGACATCCCTCTGATGGGAGTTTTCTCATGAGAGAAACACTACAACTGAACAAACAAAGCGGGCAGGATGAGATTTTCATAGCAAAACTCCCCAGCCTGACTCACGTCCGCCAGATCAGCAGGACTCAAACTGCCAGCTTCAGTTTTTATGGACAGACAGTCTCCATCCATTCAGCCAATAAGAGCATAAAAGTGGTCAAGGCTGGTTAGCATGACTCCATTAGCTCCTGCTTGCAGATGTTGTAACTAGGCCAATTAACTGCAAAAAGCATCTTTCTCCACTGACGGCCATTCAAAAAAGTCTGTGCACTCTGACAAAATAATTCAAGCAAATGTATTCAGATGAATGAGAATGCAAACAGAAAGCTTCCTTCAGGTATTACCTCTTTACCTCTTTGGTTTAAACCGCCACATGAACATCCAGCATATACAGCGAATCAGAGCGCTGCATGAACTTGTTTAACCAGTCAGAACTCATTCTCACACTCTCACAAATAAAACACGATACTGCAAATAATATCAGAACACAATAACAATTCAAGAAAATTAACCTGCCAATTAATAAAATATTATTATTTAAAATATACTAGAAAATACGTATTAATGATACATAAAATGATAAACTACATCATCAGCATTTTTAAAGTATTTTATTTGACATAAATGAAAGTGTTCAATATGTCATACGGTCCCAAGCCTAATAATCAGGGTTATTATCATTTAACTCAAATTAAAACCATTAAAAACATTTTCATTACTTGAAATAAAATAAACACCAAGTGAATTAAACTATTTAAAAAAAACTAAAACAGGCAACATTTCTCATTTTCATTCAGTTTAGATTAATAACTAAAACTTAATAAAGACTATATGGGAACTTTAAAAAATAAACTAATAAAAATGTCTAAAACACAACAAAATGACTAAAACTTTGCTAAAAACTAAAATGAAAACAAAATAAATATATAAAAATTAAATTAAATTTAAAATATCAAACTATAATTCTACATCAATGATACTAATATAACACTGGTAATAATCAAATTTTCATAACCTAATGAATTTTTGGTGATTACAGACAAATTCACAATGTTTTGTCATCACTCATTTTTCATTATCCTTTTTTTTTATTCATGCCAAATGAAATACACTGAACAAAATTATAAACGCAACACTTTTGTTTTTGCCCCCATTTTTCATAAGCTGAACTCAAAGATCTAAGACTTTTTCTATGTACACAAAAGGCCTATTTCTCTCAAATATTGTTCACAAATCTGTCTAAATCTGTGTTAGTGAGCACTTCTCAGTTGCGTTTATAATGTTGTTCAGTGTATGTACCCTAAACTAAGTCCCCTGAGATCTGAGATGAAATGTATAAATGACTGTCTGTTTACCTCAAATGCTCTTGATGTTTTAAATTTAGAAGGAAAGTGTTTCTCTGTGTCACCAGGGTCAGCGGGTCTCAGAACCAGCGGAAAAATAGCGTTAATAGCATTCCAAAGAAAAAACACACAATAGAGCCCTCCTGTTCCTAAACTTCCCTTCCTGAAGCCCTCACTTCCTCCTGGAGAGATGCTAATCGCAGGGGGTGAGAAGAGGAGGAACACTGCCGTAGTCTTCCAGGAGCCACGCACACACTCCCAAATACCATGAGCACACCACTACAGGACAGCAGTGTGTTAGTAAAACTTTACGAGCTAATGAAGATTCAGGCAGTGGTTAAAGACCTGGGTTGGTAACCTTAAAGGTCACAGGTTCAAGGCAAGCTCACAAAGGGATACAAGGGAAAAGACACGTCTGATGTCACGAGATTAGCAGGTTAGCAGCACGTCAGGAACTTTAAAATGGTAAACATGTTGGTCTGTAGAGGAACAAGCAGGTGGAGCAGTGCCCCACCAAAATAATCATCCACTATAGAATGACCTCGATTTAAAATCAATCAATAATAAATCATAAATGAGAACATTTACAATCGCAAACAATTTAGTGCAGATTCATATTGGATTTATTACTGTTCGCGTTTACAGATTTTGCACAAGCAGCCTTGTGAAGGTACACAGATTGGCTGTACAGCATTTGAGAAGAATATCATAATGCCAAAATCGGAAATGTCAAATGAAAAAAAATCTGAATAAATAACCAAGCTGGCCAATAGAATTATATATAGTATTCTATTTTTTTTTTTATTCAGCTAAGAGGTCACAAAGATATCCTTTTGATCACGTCTTCACATGATTACAAATTTGCAGGTCAGTTCACCAAACTTCAACATTCGTGAAATTCATATGAGCTTGCGTTTCCTGTCTCCAGCATTCATATGCGATTGAATGGAAGACAATGAAACAAAAAATCAAGTGCAACCCCCCTTTAATGGGCATTGATTGGCAGGATTAAGCTGCAAAGTGGACCAGACATACTGATTAAAGGTCTGAATCTGCAAGACTAGTTTACACAGGTTAGTGCTTGCTAGCTGGTCTTTTCAGTAGGCTCATCCAGTATTAGCATTGTGGCATGTGTTAGCCTGCTAGTGGCAGTAATAAGCAGGAAACTCTAGTGCGGGAGTGACATTTATTCTTGCATTTGACAAAAGCTTTTCATCTAAAGAAGCTTTATACACTGCAAACGAATGCATTGGCCATCCCACTGGAACAGTTGATGTGCTTTTTAGTGATAGAGCAGTACTGTGATCTCAGATCCTGGGTTATCTTAACCGGGAAATGAGTCTGTGCACTTTTGCAGCCTGGTTAATTAACCATCACGCTGTCAAAAACCCTGAGGAACGTTTTGCGGTCTCATCCTGAGAGCGCCTGCCTGGGCCACTTCTGTATCCTTTTGGCAGCTTAAGGGGCCGTTCACACACAACGCGTTTTTCCATTCCAATACACTACTTTTCCATTGTTTTTCTGTGGAAAACACACGCTAGACCATTGCGTGCGCTTTCCTATCGCGTCTTTTGCAGCGTCTCTCTCGTACATGAGCGCCGCGTTTTTAAGACGCCGTGTCAAGCTAAAATAATTTCAACTGTTGAACTCACATCAATGTCAGTTCCAAAACAGTGGACCAATCAGTAGACCCCGGAGGCGGGGCAAGCGTTGTGAGCTTTTGTTTACAGTAGAGCCATTCTGCGCCATTCCTGAGCACTGCGTCTTGCGTTCTTAAGGCCCGTTCACACCAAGGACGATAACTATAAAGATAACGATAAAGATATAGTTCTAAAAATTGTTCTCAATATTAAAGAATAGCAGAGTCCACACCACAACTATAACAATAAAGGCACAGAGAAACGATATCGTTGGAATCACTTTCAGAATGATCATTTCCAGCTGTTGAACAATAAAAACATTGAGAGCCAATCAGAATCAATCCTGCTATCGAGAGCTCGAGAATTTAAAGCGGCAGACGAGCATGTGCTTGGAATAAACAAACAATATCGTTCCCTGGTGTGGACGCTAATATAGTTATCTTTATAGTTATCGTTCTTGGTGTGAATGGGGCTTTAGACTCAAAGACGGGTTCTGTGTGAACGGCCCCTCAGCCTTATATTTTACTTTTTATTTAGTAGATACTACATTTGGTATGAAACTTAGTGACCGGTACAAAAGTATGTTCTTTATAGTATGACTATGGGTAGTATGAAGGAAATTCGGGCCTACTACACCAGTCATGTTGTCATTGTCATGTGACCTACAGCATCAGTTGCATCGTTTGACGGACATTCATAAATCCTTCCGTGTGGCTTCATGGGATTGTAAAGTGTCCATTGAATGCGCAATCCCGTAATTAGTAGATCATCCGGGTACCTTTCACCTACAGTTTTTGAATGTTATGAATGAATCCCAGCTTAGTACATAAGTTGGGATGCAGCCTAGATCTCTGTGCAGTTGGGTAGGTGATGCTGTTTTGATGAAGCACAGCTATGGACATCAGAAACAGTGAGCGTTCTAGAGGATTTCAGTGGACAACATCTCCACTATTAAATGGACTCTGTGTGCAGCTGTGACGGTCAGACAGCTTTACTACACTGAACCTTTCTTCTGAGAGCCATGACTCCAGCTGAACAGTGTGATCACAGCCGGTGGTGACCCAGAGAAACGACACGAGACAATGAGAGAGAGGAGGCTGGGGACATCTGCTCTGCCGGTCAGGATCTCTGAGGATATGTCAGTGTGTCGGCCGCTCATAGATCAGGATGGACAGAGCCTGGTGTCATGAGATCTGTGGCTCAGGTCACAAAGTCTCATTGTTCATAGATTAAAGCTGAAATGTGTCATATTTCAATGTTACTTCCTGTCCCAGTTGAATGTAGAGAGACAATGCTAAGTAAACCATTAGTAGGTTGTTGTTCTGAAGAGTGTAAACACTGTGGACGTGGGACCGGTTTCACCGGCTGTGAGTAAGTTACAACTTAGACTAGTTTTGACATAAAGGGGCAGTAATTTACAACTTACGCTCTACTAAATATGTCTGTGTTGCACCATTAAACTCAACGTTACGTTTCGTATAAACTAAATATTTATGAAAGCCTCCGACTAGGAGTAACAGTTGGAATGAAATATCAGTTTGACTGAATTGCATCAAGAAGCTCATGTTTTACCTGACAGACTTCAATCCTGCAGACATATATGAAAAAGTTGACATCTACACTCATTTACATTTTAAGAAAGAGAACATTATGTGAATAAGTTACTTTGTTAGTGGCTCTTCAACGCGAAACATTCTTTACCGTTTGTTACGTGAGACAAAATTTTGAATTAAAGATGAACTGAAATTAACACCTTTTTAACACAATTTCTGTTCATGTATTTGACGGTTGATTAATTCAAAAGTCTTACAAAATTACTTTATATTATTTAATAAAATAATAAATAATTATTACAAAGCATTTTCGGTTTCGGTTTTCGGCCAAGTGCATCCAGAATTTTCGGTTTCGGCCCAGAATTTTCATTTCGGTGCATCCCTAGATACTGCAATAAAAAACTCACTGGAAAGTCACAGATATTCTGACCTGGAAATCCTCGAGAGGAAATTGCAGCATGTCTCTGAGTCCATCGCTGAGGATCTGAGTTTTCCTCTGCACCAGCACACTCTCATAGTCCAGAGGCTCCACCACACGCGGCTTCACCTAATACACACACAAATTCAGCACATCTTACAGATATAACGCTACTAACATTCCAGCATGTTATAGGGTGATGCTCATATTTACTAATTAGAGGAGAAATAGTGATTTAAAAAAATGAATTTGCATATGAGGCCAGGGGTGTTCTGTAAAGTCCCATAGTGAAATATTACTCCCTGAAAACCTCAATGAGCAAGACACTTCAGATACGTCATTGTACCTGTTACTTAACAGACTCAATATTATTTAATGGCAACACTGTCTGAAAAGTCCAACAAACTCCCCCAGCCCCAATAAGAGTTCAGGAAATTAAAAGGAGTTTTAAGGATAAAAAAATGAACTAAAAAAAGTGATGGAACTAAAGCTGAAATAGTCAATGTTGTACTCTAGACTCAATATTATTTAATGGCAACACTGTCTGAAAAGACCAACAAACTCCCCCAGCCCCAATAAGAGTTCAGGAAATTAAAAGGAGTTTTAAGGATTAAAAAAGGAATAAAAAAGTGATGGAACTAAAGCTGAAATAGTCAATGTTGTACTCTATTGTGCGGCGATAACAACTTTCCCTCTGACGTTTTCCTTTGAATCTCTTTATGTAAAATATATGAGAATTTTGGATGAGGATCTTGGTAATATGTTTCCACTGATATTATATAGAAGGAATCTGGGAGTGTGTGTGTGTGTGTGTGTGTAAGACTAAGTGAGATAACACAGTCCACTCACACATCTGGGAGTGATACTAGCAACATGACCTCAGATGCAGATCTCCATGGAGACGGAGTTGTTTTGATGATGATATCATAACTGGATAGACCAATCAAAGACCAGAATCTTACACAAACACCATGAACACCAGCTTTACTGACTGTACAACACATTAAAGCCTCCAGGCACCACATAAAATAATTATCAACCAGTTCAATCCCGGCAGTGTGTGTGTCATGAGCATACAAACCCCGACTCTCAAAGTCAGGCTGAGCCAGGCTCAGTGGAAATATGTGCATGTGGCGACATTCCTTCAAAATGATATTACATTGCATTACAACTCTTTCCATTGATATATGTGATGCTAAACGTGTGTTCAGTTTTATCTGAAACAGATTAACGGCAATTAAATATCCGGTGAGCGACATTAAATTGTTAACACTCTATTGCATTTGAAAATAACATATACATCACCTACTCAAAAACCTAAACCTAACCGATAGTGTTAGAACACAAGCAAGCGTGAAACAATAATGCATTTGCAGAAGCAACCATGTCATTTTCACTTGTTTCTACAAGTCTTTGAACTCTTTTATCGTGACTCATGTTTCATGAGACTCGTATCCGACTTCACAAGTGCATTGCTGTACCAGGTGAGCTACCGAGCTAGTTTACTGTAACTTGCAAGTTTATGTGATGCAAATGTCAAAATTACTTTACAAATCATACACTTTGGTCTTAAAGGGGTCATATGATGCGATTTCACATTTTCCTTTCTCTTTGGAGTGTTACAAGCTGTTCGTGAATAGATAAGATCCCTAAAGTTGCAAAAGACTAAAGTCTCAAACCCAAAGAGATATTCTTTATAAAAGTTAAGACTCGTCCACACCCTCCTAAAACAACTCGTTTAAACACGCCCCCCCCACTGGATGCATCGAATGACTCGTTTATAATGGGTTTTATTGTTTTTGTCTCGACTCGCCGGGCGACACGGCATCACAGTATGGTAAGGGGCGTAACATTTCCGTCACACGCTTGAGGTATTCGGCCAATCACAACGCACTGGATAGCTGGCCAATCACAGCACACCTCGCTTTTCAGACCGATGAGCTTTGTAAAAATTGACGCGTTTCAGACAGGCGGGGCATAGAGGAGAAACAATAATGTACAATATGTGGAAAATACTGTGTTTTTTTAACCTTAAACCGCATAAACACATTTCTTTACACTAAATACACAAAATAATGTTCTTTTTAGCAGCATCATATGACCCCTTTAAGAGGTATTAGCATAGTATTGTACAAGATACCACACAAAAATAGGTCTTTATTAATCAATAATGTAAGCCCTGTAATCATAGTTTGTGTGAAAAGGAATAAAGGTTGTTGGTGTTTTACTGTCAACTAGTGTTCATTCCAGCTGGAAACTGTGGTGAATTGTATGCATAGGTACGGTTTGCAAAAATGTAGGTAGACGCATGTTTTTCCAATGAGCCTCATTTACTAATAATAGAGCAGAGAAACAGCTGTCCAGTCAAACGAAATAAAGTGGATGTGTTTGTATGCGTGTGAGTGTTAATATTCGTATTTGAAACATTCAGCAGTTTAATCTTTAACACATATATGACACACCAGAGTTACAGTCATATGACTGACAGGTGATTTTATTATCGCAGATGAAACTAACTGCACAGAAACTAGAGCAATTTCAGAGAGTAATGACCTAACCAGGGATGCTACTAACTTCGTTTAACTATTCAGTAGTGTTTTCCCTCCAGAACAGGTTGCAGTACATGACAACAAATAATTTATTTTAAATGGCCTTGATGTGAGTGCATTTTTTAGAGGTACAATTATTTCATGTAATTTCCTAATTAATGTAAACTTAAAATTTGCAAAAATTAACAATAATTACAAAAAGAAAAGTAAAGTAAAAAAGCTAAATGTTTTAAAAAATGCGTTTAGATGGAGTATCGTATGTCACAGCATGTGTACAAACACAAATGGGAAACACACACACCTTTATTTATTCCTGGGAACATGAATAGGACAAAGTTTGTACAGTTGTGTTGTGTTCAAAATGGCATCACAGTAATGCATCAGTTACTGTGGCTAAGTGTTTGTATGTGTGTACTTACCCAAATTTGTACCAAGAAGTGAATTAATTCAGACAAAACCTCCTTTCACAGATATTCTCATTAGTACAATTGTTATTTTTAAATTGTAAACTTGTTTTTTGTTAAGGTTAGGCTATAGTATTTATAAATAGCTGTATATAGAAACAACAGAATCTAAGTAATGTCCTCATAAGTAAACCTTTACGGTTTTGCACTAGAAATTTCTAACTGCAAACTGATCAGAAATCACAGACAGTGCAGTCTGATATCAGCACTCCAGAACAGCTGTGTGAATGTGTGTTTATTTCTTTACACTGCTGTACTCTGAAACATCCAGACACACTCCAACTGGACACAACCGGCCCACAAAGGCACGCTCACTACAGCACACTCTGCTTCCAAAATAAAGTTCATAAGTCAGTAGAACAGCAGAATGTATTGAACTAAAGTGACAGCAGGAAAGACATACACGTGTGAGCTGATGGAAGCTTGTGTGATCTCCACATGAATCATCTCAGCACATTAATCTCTCTCTTCTGAGGAGCAGTGCACTTTCCACTTTAAAGCAAACAGCCTGAAAGCTGAGCTCAACTCCATTGTGTGTGTAGCAATAGAAACACAGGAGAAAGATACAGTATGTGGGCAGTGACAGAGGTGTGTGTGTGTGTGTGTGTGACGATAATGCTGGAAGAGACATTTGATACCTTTTTAACCCTTAAAAACCATAATGATTCCTTCCGAGTACAATACTGTTTAAAAGTTTGGGGTCAGTATGATTTTTTTTTTTAATGTTTTCAAAAAGTCTCCTCACCAAGGCTGCATTTATTTAGTCAAAATGCTGTAAAAACAGTAATATTGTGATATATTATTACAATTTAAAATGTTTTCTATGTTAAAAATGATTACTGTGATCAAAGCTGAATTTTCAGCATCATTACTCCAGTCTTCAGTGTCACATGATCCTTCAGAAATCATTCTAATATGCTGATTTGATGCTCAATAAACATTTCTGATTATTATCAATGTTGGAAACAGTTGCTTAATTTTTCTGTGGATAATTTTTTTAATCAATGAATATTTTTTTTTAAGAAAAGAAAGTTCAAAGGAATCTTTTGTAACATTATACACGTCTTTACCGTCACTTTTGTCCAATTTAATGAATTCTTGCTGAAAAATTGTATTGTACACTGTCAAATCTACCCTTAACCCCTAACTCACCCTTAACCCTAACCTAAACCAAACCTAACCAGACAACCAAACCTGTCCCTAACTTAAACCGTATCCCACCTCAATAGAAGCAAGTGTTTTGCAATTCAACATGAATACCATCAGTACATTGTACCTAACAATTATAAATTATTTATTACATAGTAGTTAAAGACACCTAATATAAAGTGGGGCCTAAAAGTCGTGTTTAAAGTCTTAATTTGTTTATTATTTAAAACTTATTTTAATAAATTACATCGTACTGAACCCAAACCCATAAGGTTTCATACAGTAACATATCAATTGAATATGTCATGGTATGATCTTCTGACACCATCACTGTACCATGACACCTCCACAATACTTTCTGGAAAGACATTTCAACCCCAAAACACTTAACCCTCTGGTCCTCTTCGTTTGGGAGTCACACTTGGCTCCTTCGCGGTCAAAAGTGACCGAAGCCTTTTTTGATTATTATTTAGAATTTTGAAGGGATTTTAAGATGTTATGCAATATTTATACAATTTTAATGAGCTATTATTATTAGCTAATTAATAATAATTTTTTTCCCACAAGAATTCATATTTTTTATTTCATTATTTAATTATTATTTTTCAATAAATGGATTCCCATTGCTTTTTTAGACATAATTTCTTCATTTTATTAGGTTTTGCTTTTAGATATATATTTAGACATTCTAAAAGACTACTTTTTGTCAAGGTTTAGATATTTTTGGTTAGATAAATATCAGGTTTTGCATTATGATTACAATCAAACATTGTGTGTGTGTCTGTGTGTGTGTGTGTGTGTTTGTTTGTGTGCGTGGTCTGCACAGTGGCTGATTTGTAGTTTGTACCACCAACAGATTCTCTGAGTTGTAGTTTTTTTGTATTTCCCATTCATTTCCTATGTCAGTCATTTTTGACCGGGAAGGAGCCAAGTGTGACTTTTTTTTTTTTTGACCATTTAACATATC